TGGTTTTTTTATTTATTTTCTATGAATTTTTTAAGTCTGAAATTTTCCCCCTGTGGGGAAAATTTCAGACTTGATCCATAAACCTTTCTAAAAATTTAAATAATAAAATTTTGTTTTTGTTATTTTTATCATGTCGTCATTCAAAATGTAATAGTAAATATTTTTTATTAATAATCTTTTATTCAGTTTTAATTATTTAAAATCTTATATAAAATCTCATAGTTTACATTAATCTGTTTGAATTATATTAAAAATTATTTTTTTTACTCTATAAAAATTTCGAATTTTGAGATTTAATATAAAAACATTAATTACAATTGAAAAGTTATCAAAACATACTTTTTATATGTAAAATTTTTATTAAAAATGGTTTTAAGTATAATTAATTATTTATTTTAAAAAATTCTAATAAAAAATTTTACTAACTAATAAAAATAAAAAATCTTAAGGAAATTTATTTATTTTTATATCATTTTAATATTTTATCTTGACAGACTGTTTTACAATCAAAATAAACTCAAAATTGTAAACTTTACAACCTAAAACGATATGTTTTAAATTTCCTATTAAAACAAAAAATAGTAAACAATTATGAATTATTCTCATATAAGCTTTAAAATACCCAAATCAAATAACCAAACTTATAATCTTATAAAGATAAGTTTACTAAAACAGTCTTATGATATAAAAGAGTTTAAAAAGGAGGTGGATGGTTTGAAAATAAAATTATACATGGATTACAACATTGAGAATTTAATAAAAATATTTAAAAGTATATTAAGTAGCTATGAAAATACGAACATTTGTTTTGAAAGGAGAAATAAATGCAACAAAAAAGAAAATGTTTTGGTTATGGAAGATACTGATTTGTTGAAATTATGTATTTGTCTTGTTATGGAAATTAAAAATTTGAGTAAAAAACTAAGTAAATATAATGCAAATATTTATATAGATAAAAACAAAGTTAGAATATTATCAGATACAAAGGGAAATTTATATGAAATAACCAATGAAATTATGTTATATTTTAATCATTATTTCATTGTTTATTTTAGTTTTAATAAATCTTTTAATCAGTTAAACAAACAAATACTTGTAACAAATAATAACAAAGTAACACTAATAACAAATCTATCAGATTTAAATAGACTAACGTGTTATGAAGCAAGGTTAGAAACAAATTTTAATTTAAATAAAGAAACAACTGAATTTATCTGTGGAAAGAAGTGTGGTAAGTTTAATAAGATAGTTAATGATGTAAAAATTCCAATTACATTAAGTTTTAAAAACAATCAAACATATTTTTCAGTAGAACCAACTTGTTTCACCAAATTTGTGAAAGGTTTAAATTTACTTTTTGATGAATATCCTTATATAGAATTATTTAATATTGATCAAAAGTACCACAAGAAGATAATAGGCGTATCAGGAGTCGATATTCAAAAATTAATGAAAGTATACGATGTATACATTAAATTTATGAATAATATAGAGTCAGTAGACTATAATTATAATGTAATCTGTAAAACACCAATAAAAAATATGAACAACATAGAAAATTTGAAGAAAGTGTTATTAAGTCTAACTAATAATTCACAATTGAAAAAAGAAAACAAAAGTATAAATATTTTACCAAAGAAAGAAAATAAGAATTATGATAGCGGATTGAGATTATTAAGAGAATTAATTCATCTCTATAAATTGATTAATTAAACAAATTTTAATGAATTTTGTTTGTGTTTCGAAATTTTTTAATTTAAATATTTTTATGATTTATTTAGCATGAAAGACATAAAGATATATGGATTTGGATCAAATTACTGTGGACAATTGAACTTAGATGATGAGACTGGAACAACAGAGATACCAATATGTGTTAATGATATTGATATGTTAAGGGGTAAGAATGTGGTCAAATTAGTTTGTGGTAAGATGCATGTATTAGTGCTTTGTGAAAACAATGAATTGTATGGATGGGGAGTCAATGATGATCACGCTTTAGGAAGTGATTTCTCAGATCATGATTTATGTAGACAAATACCTTTTAAGTATAAGATTGTAGATATCTATGCTGGAACTTCATACTCAGCAATTTTAACAAAAGAGGGAAGAGTATATACTTGTGGAACATTTAAATCAGCCAATGGAATATTAGGATATGATTTTAATAACAATTTTGGGAAAATGTTCCAATTAGTACCAGAATTAAGGAGAATAAAGAAACTAGCAGGAAATTATAATCATTTATTATGTATAGACTCACAGGGAAGTATTTGGGGGATGGGTGACAATGAGTCATTGCAGTTAGGAAAGAAAGAAAGTTTAAGAAATCGCAAATATTCACTATTTCCAACTTTAGTAAAAAGTAAATTTAAGAAAAAGTTTATAAAGGTAAGTGGTGGTACTTATCATACGATGGCTATTACTGAAGATAATAAAGTGAGTGGATGGGGAGGTAACTACACAGGACAGTTGGGTGATGGTACTTTAGAGAGTACAATGTATAAGAGAGAATTAGAATTAAATAACATAGTTGATGTAAGTTGTTCCAACTCACATACACTCTTTTTAGACGGTGAAGGAACAGTTTATGGTTGTGGAGATAATAGAGATGGACAGCTTGGAGTGAAAGAAAAAAAAGATTTTATAAAACCAATAGAAATTACAAAGAATGTCTGTAAAATCAGAACAGGCAATTCTTTTTCTGTAGTTCAGAAGGGAAATGAATTATTTGCAACAGGATGTAATGTAGAGAAACAGTGTGGAGTAAAGCAACCATCAAGTCTCTATGAATTTACTAGAATTAATTTTGATTTTGGAGAAATAATTGACTTCAGTGTTGGAGGATCATTTGTGATTGTAATTTCTAAAAAATAATAAACTTATTTTTTAATAGAACATTCTTTTATAAATTTTAAAAGATTTCAACCCCTAAAAAATGACTACAGAAACAGACAACAGTAAAACAATAGTAGTAGATTTAAAAGTGACTTCAAATGATTTAAAGGAGTGTGAAGATGATAGATATTGTATCGAGAAAAGAATAAGTAAGAATAAGAGTGATTTATTTAAAATGGATTTTAATGTGATGTTGTATATTTGTAAAGAGTCTTTTGATAACATTAGAAAGGACTGGGATTACACAGAAATAAATTACTGTGATAATATAAAATCCAAGTACTTCGTTGATTCTGTTCAAAGAAATGTGAGATTTAATATTTACGTACAAAGTAATGAGTCTATTAAAGCAGATGAAAACAATTCTTTTAATTCAAAAGAAGTTAAAAAGGAAGAAGAAGAGTTTTTTAAATTAGAAGAGAATGAAATTTCTTTAGATTTTGATGAAAAAATTTTAATTAAAGAAATTTCAACAAATTCAGATGAAACAGTAATAATTTATAAAAATGAAAATTTTTTTACTCATAAAAAAATGAATGAAAAAATAATTGATAATGAGATAGTTGATAATGAAATACTTGATAATGAAATAGTTGATAATGAAATAGTTAATGAAGAAATAGTTATTGAAAATCCTTATAACAATGTTGAAATTTTTAATAACGAGAAACAACTTTTCATTGATAAAATTTTAAATAGATTTCATATTAGAAGAGATTTTAAAGAAAAAGAAATTTGCTATAATGAGACTGATGAAGCTAATTTAACTTTAAAAATTATTCAAGAATTTGAGCATGATGGTAAGAAAGTTCAAATAGTTGAAGAAAAGGACAATAATTGTTTAATTTGTCTTTATGTGTTGATATCTAAGGGGTCAGGATTACCTATTGATTTATCTACTCTTTCACCTTTGGTTTTATATGAATTTGAAACTAATCACGGATTTGTTACTTTATTTAGTAATATGATTATTCCTGTTGAACACGAGGCATTTGAGGCTTTTTATATTGCTGAGAAATTAACCGGTGGTGAAAATGTAGTATTTTTAATTGCTAAAGATGATATTAGCACTAATGAATTTCAAAAATTATTTGGAGATTCTTTAACTAAAGAAAAAAAGCCTCTAAATAATAAGAAAGTAATTGTTAAACCAGGAGTTTTTAATAGCAAACGTTCTGTTGAAATCGTTGATGAAGATCCAATAGTTTGTTATTGTTTTTAATAAAAGACTTATTTAATTGGTATTTGTTTTATAATTAATTTTATTTTTTTAAAGTGATATACTTTTTAACAACAAAATTTTTTAGTAATTATTAAATCATTTACTTTTAAATAAAGATTTTTTAGAAATAATATTTTTAAAACTCAATGTAATTACTTTATAAAGGTGACATTAAAATATTTTTTTTTAAAATTCCCCTTATAGATTAAAAATCTTTGAATGAATTATACTTCTGAATAAAAAATTAGAAATAAGAAAGAGGTATATTTAAATAAATCTTCACATATAATTATTTAAAACTTTTAATATAACAGTAGTGAAACAAATTTTTGTTTAAAAATGAAATAAAACTTTAATTAATTAAAAAATTGAATATCAGATGTTATTTACAAATACATTTATTATTTTATTTTTAAAACAATCAAATAAAAATTCAAATATATTTGTTAATTATGAAAATGAATGTTTTTTTTATTGTATTGATTCATTATTTGTTTTTTATAAAAAACTTTTAATAAATTTTAATTTATAATAGATTGTAACAAAAAGATTTTATTAAAAAAATTGAAATTTAACATTTTAAAAACACATCCAGATCACACAAGAATTTTTTTAAAATAACAACTTTAAAAAATAACAAATGAAATTTTTAAATCAATAAATAAAAACATTTTATTTACCCTTATTTATGGAAACAGAAAGAGAAAGTAACAAACCAATAACAATTAATTTATTAGTCAATTCAAATGAATTAAAAGATTTTGACAGGGAAAGATATTGTGTTGAAAGAATAATAACAAAGGAAGAAAGTGAATTTTTTAAAAATGATTTTGCTGTTAAGTTGTATATTTGTAAAGAATCCTTTGAAAGCATAGATGCTGATATGAATTATACAGAGATTAATTTTGTTGATAATATAAAACCGGAATATTTTATTGATTCAATTCAACGAATTATAAGATTTAATATTAATGTTAAAAATAAGAATTCTAGTAAAATTGATGATGAAAATTCTTTAAGTTCTGAAGAAGTTTTATCTAATGAAGAAGTTTTATCTAATGAAGAAGTTTTATTTAATGAAGAAGTTTTATCTAATGAAGAAGTTTTATCTAATGAAGAAGTTTTATCTAATGAAGAAGTTTTATCTAATGA